GGGTTCTTCTGACATTCTGGAACACAGGGCTTGGCTTCTATCATGTCCTTCCTGCCCAGCCCTGAAGCCAGCTGGTTTTCCAAGAAGCCAAGGTTCCTGTTACAGGAGAATGGGCTCAGGGTCCCTAGTCTAGGCACTGGGGGACCTGTAGGGGGCTTAGAGATGGCTCTCTATTAATGCCTTATGTATTTTTTTTTTTTTCGGAGACAAAGTCTCCCTGTAGCCCCAGCTGGCCTGGAACTCACTATGTAGATCAGGCTGGCCTTGAACTCAGAGTGATCCGCCTGCCTCCTGAATGCTGGGTTTAAAGACGTGCGCCACCAAGCCCGGCTCTTGTACAGTTAGTTTTGCAGCAACTGACAGATCTATTCAGTTGAACGCTAGCTCTTAGGCACCTCAATCCTAACCCTCCACCGCATGGCTTTCTTGCCTCCCTTGTTCCCCTCTGACCCTGACAGTCACTTGTGGCCCCCCTCTCCTGTCTCTTCAGTCCTCATGGGAACTGCCTGCTGCTCTGTGCCCCTCAAAGACTGATTGCTCATGGGCTTTACTGTATTCTGGCCCCCTGCTCCCTAACTGGGGCTCTCCAAGGCATGCCCAAATCGGAGGCTGCCATACTTTTCATCACTTTTTCGAGACATCTCTGTGGGAAGGATGTGCCTGTTATTCAGTAGGCCTCCTCTGGATACATGGAGCCCTCAGCTGCCAGGTGCTCTGCTACCCTAGGAGCTAGGACTTCACATGCACACAGCAGAGGTATCCCCAGGAAGCCAACAGGACTCTGGGGTTCAATGGCCTACAGAGCAGCTATTTGTTTCTGCTTCTGCATGCTTTTTTTGAGCTGGGAGGACTGCTGTACCCCAAAGGGAACATGGATTATTACCAAGTTGGTGAGGGCATCACCCTGGCTTCATTTCTGCCACAGCCTCATTGTTCACCACGTGATCTGTCTTGGGCAAGACACGAGCATCAATCAGTTCTACAGTGTTGAGGGTGAACAGGGAGCCCTTCAAGTGCTTGCTCAAATGCTCTGCTCAGCGCCTGATGTTCGTTTCCCTAAACGACCCCCACTGAATAGCTAATGAACCTGTAATTAAAGCAACTTTTCATATTGCTGGTGAGCTGCTCCTGACACAAAGATGGTGCAGGGTGTCCTTCAGGGGACCTCTGCACAGCCTGAGATGACTGAAACCTCAGTGGGACAAGGGGACAGAAGCCCTTTAACACTGCCTGAGGCCTGGGCTTTCTGATGCCCACTAGTGTTTTCAGCAAGGAACACTTGTAAAATCACTGGCCCTTGCATTATGCGGTATGGTGAGTCCTGAATTTCTGCAGCTAGCCTCCTTGTAATTTCTTGGGTAACAGCACCTCAATTTCCTCCTCTGGGGTACCTACTGGACACATGGTGGTGCTGGCTGTGGCCACTGGAAGTTGTTCCCTGGAACCTGAATGCTGAACAGCTGAGAAGGGCAGGGATCACTGACTGTCAGGAGCCTGGAGGGCCACAAAATGTGTGCATCTTTCTGGAGGAATGGGCAGTGACTTTACCCTAGGGGCAGTGAATAGCTTGTAGCCATGAGAGACTGGGTCAGCAAGGGGTATGGGCAGGACACTGGCTGCTTATCTCTCTTGGGAGGCCAGTTTCCAGTGCTTCAGGGGAGGGCTGTTTGGCTTGAGGTTTGTTTCTAGAGCCCAAACCACATGGAGGGCCACTTTGGGCCATGCTCCAGTAAGTACCTACTCCAGAGTCTAAGAAATGGCTTTTCTGTCAGGAGACGATCACTGACCCTCCAGGAACCTTGTAGCACGTAAAAGTAGGGAGTGTACTCAGGAAGGCCTGGATGTGGAAGCAGAAGCTCCTGACTAGGTGAGTCTGTGGTATGGGTTATATGGACCCCAAACACAACCTACACATTACCTGGTGTTGCCATCCCTGCTAATGTGGTCCGAATGCTGTCTCATCTGAGCTCTTAAACCTGCTGGTAGGACATCATCCAAGTCCCTGGACACCTCAAAACCAAAAATCATGAAGCAGCTGAAATAGGAGATGATAGGACACCACAGAATTCTATGTAGATTGCATCACCACCTATTGGTGCCCTCCCATGATGGAACAGGGACAAGGGCCTCTCTCTCCTGCCAATGTCTGCTCCCAAATGACACCTTCCCCATTGAAATTCTTAATTCTGGTTCACAATCCCAGGGCGTTTATAGTGAAAATAGCAATACAAGAAGACTACAGGCGAAACCCCAAGGAACAAAAGCAAGTGTGGTCTGGAAAACACTGACTACCCTGGCCTGCTTTGGTGAGATGCCACCCTGATGCCATCACATAGCTGGATGATAGCAGGAAAGACAACAAGCCAGCAGCACCAGGGTGGGACAAAGGTGTCTACAAAACACAGAATGGCTACTTTCTGTGGTATGCAGAAACTTGGTCATAAATAGCCAGTAAGGAGGAGTTCATGTAAGAGCAACTCGAATAGGTTTTTTTAAAAATAAATTTATTGAGAATTTCATACATGCATATTAAGGTGATTTGATCAAATCCATGCCCACTCCCTCCCCTCTAACTCCTCCCATATCTCCCCATCACTTTTTTTCTGATAACTTCATGTACTCTTATTTTTTAAAAAAATATCTTTATATATTTTTTAATGTGTATGAGTGTACTGCCTGCATGGCGAGTGCACCAGTGTCATGCAATGCCATGGAAGTCAGAAGAGGGCTTTGGATTCCCCTGGAACTGGAGTTAAGGATGGTTTGTAGTCGCCATGTGGGTGCTGGGAATCAAACCCAGGTCCTCTGCAAGAGCAGGCAGTGTTCTTAACAATGGTCTCCCTGTAGTCCCAGCTGGCCTGGAACTCACTACATTATGTAGACCAGGCTGGTCTCAAACTCACAGAGATCCACCTGCCTCTGCCTCCTTAGTGCTGGGATTAAAGGCATGTACCACCACTGCCTGGCAGTCATTTATTTATTATTTTTATTTTATGTGTATGAGTGTATTGCCTACATGCATGTGAGTGCACCCATGTTGTGCAATGCCACGGAGGTCCGAAGAGGGCATCGGACTCCCCTGGAACTGGAGTTAAGGATGGTTCGTGGCCACCATGTGGGTGCTGGGAATCGAACCTGGCTCTTAACTGCTGAGCCATCTCTCCAGCTCCTTCTTTTAAAATAAATAATTTATTGAGAATTTCATACATGTATATAAGGTGTTTTGTTCAAATCCATGCCCACTCCCTCCTGTCCGACTCCTCCCATATCTCCCCATCACTTTTTTTCTGATAACTTCATGTATTCTTTCTTCATTTTTTTTAATTTTTAAAAAATATTTTATTTTTTTTAACGTGTATGAGCGTACTGCCTGCATGTAAGTGCACCTGTGTCATGTAATGCCCACAGAGGTCAGATGGCAGCGCTGGATCCTCTGGAATTGGAGTTACTGATGCTTGTTAGCCGCCATGTGGGTGCTGCAAATCGAACCCAGGTCCTCTGCAAGAGCAGTCAATGCTCTTAACTGCTGAGCCATCTTTCCGAGCCTGGGAAGGTCATTTCTTTGACAAAGTGTGCAGCTTTGGGAGGGATGCACATGAATGGTTAGGGAGCAAGGAGACACCCTCTTGACCAGCTAGATCAGTAACCAGTAAGGCGGTAGCCACCCCCAACTTATTTTTATTCATGAAAAAAATTTTTTTTTTCTATGTGGGTACCCACCTGGAAGTCGGAAGACAGCTTATGTTAGTTCTCTCCCTCTACCATGTGGGTCCCAGGCTTAGAGGTACACACCTTTACCTGCTGAGCCATCTCACAGGTCCCCAGTTTTATTTTTATTTTTGGTCTTTTTGAGACAGGGTCTCCCGTAGCCCCAGCTGGCCCAGAACTATGTAGACCAGGCTGGCCTCGAACTCAGAGATTCTCCTGCCTCAGCCTACCAAGTGTTGGAATTGGAATTAAGGACAGTTGTTAGCCTCCATGTGGGTGCTGGGAATTGAACCTGAATCCTCTGGAAGAGCAGCCAGTGCTCTTAACTGCTGAGCCATCTCTCTAACCCCCTTCCCAGCTTTATTTTTAAATTTAAGATGAGCTACTTTATTTTGTTGATCCTTAAAACCAAGAAACTAAAAGAAGCTCCTTTCAAAGTCCAGTGTAGTGGGGCACACCTGTGATCCTGGCAACTTGGTAAGTGGAGGCAGCAGGATCAGGAGTTCAAAGTCATCCTTGGCTACATAGTTTGAGGCCAGACACACAAATAAATAAATAAATAAATAAATAAATAAACAAATGGCTCTGACATGGCCTATTTATATCAGGAAAGCACAGAGCAGGTCACCAGTCTATGGAGATGACAAGGCATGTGCAGTGCAGATGTGGAATGGAGGAGTCTGGTAGGTACCTTGTAGGCATGTGGACTGGTCTGCTCAGTGGGTCTGTGGTGTGCCTGCACTGCTCTGCAGGGCAGACTTGGGGACTATCTCTCATGGACCCCAGTTCTCCAAGGAGTCTCTTGACTACTTCACTTACCCTGTGAGCTTCTGAAGAGTATGTGTCCCAAGTGGAAGCAGCAGAACCACAGTGGGGTACCCACCATGAGGAGGAAAGCAGACACTCTTTCTGGGTCTAGAGGGAAGTCGATCTCTAGCACAGAAGGGGCCTGAGCAAACTCTTGTGTGGATGAAGCAGGGCCCTGGCCTCAGGCCAGGCCAGCAGGTCTTCAGGATGAGATGAACATCCTATGTACCCAGCACAGGAGCACTGGGAGAGCAAAGGCTTCCTGAAGAGACACAAACCTGTATCTTCACTGGGCATTCAAAGAACCTGCCTGGACTAGCCCTGCAGAGGCCCACTGGAGGCATGGGTGAGACACACTGGTGTGTTCCCCTTAGCCCCCACAGCTGGGCAGAAGCTACTCCTGGAGGGAAGCCTCATTTTCTCCTCAGGTCAATACACAGTAGATATAAATGACAGACACACCAAAGGAAGGAGCTGCCTAAGGCTGCTAGCTAGAAAAGGAATTTCCTCCCATTTTATTTGATAATACATTTTCACAGAAACATGATATATTTACAAATATACAGGTAAGAGACTGCTGGTCAAAAATCTTAAACTGAAAATGTCATCAAAAATTAATTTACAAAAGCCACTGACTGTCCCAGGGAGTCAGACTAGAGAACCTGAATAGCAATGTGTAGGTCTGCACACAGCTCAGTTCCCACCTTCTAGGATGCGGCTGTTCTGAGCCGAAACCCAGCATCTGTGGCCGCAGCCACACACAATGCTCTGCTCAGGGCTGGCCTTGCAGTTGCCATCTTAGGACGCGCTGGTTTGCAGGTTTTTGGAAGCTGCGAGCATTGCTCTTACTTTGGCCATGAGATCCTGTGTGGGGAGGCAAGGAGGGAAGCCTGTGAGCTTCCCACTAACCTGACACCAGACCACCCATGTAGTGACATTTGTGAGGAGGCCATGGTGGGGACAAGAGGCAGAACTCTCAACAGGCTAGCCCAGGCCTGGATGGAGGGTATGCAGCTGTAAACACATTCCAGGCTGCATAGGGGCCAAAGTCACCCTCTTGGTCTTGTTCCAAACTTCCCACAGCCATGACCTCATGTGGCCTGTGGACATAGGGCCTGGCTGTCTTCTGTCACTTGTGGAGAGCTGAGTTCCACAGCATGGCAGTCTTGGAAGGAGGGCATGTTTCCTGTGGAAGATGAGCTTCCCAGAAAGAGTGATTCACCCCCCTCCCTGCAGCATGGGCTCTGACTCAGTGCTTGGCTGTGGCAAGGCCAGCATCATTGAGTCAACAGGTGACCAGCCCCAGGACTTTCTCCTGGGTCAGTACTAGTGAAACAAGGGAGAAGAATGAAAATTAGCAGAAGAGGAAAAAATAGGCCCGTTTATAAAAGATGAGAAGGGAAGCTAGAGATGGCTCAGCAGTTAAGAGAACTGGCTGCTCTAGCAGAGGACCTTGGTTTGGTTCCCAGAACCCACATGGCAGTTAACCATTTGTAACAGTTTCAGGCAATCTAATGCCCTGTTCTGGCCTCCACAGGCATTGCACACATGTGGTACACTTGCATATAGGCAGGCGAAACACTCATACACAGAAAAAGAGAGAGAGAGGGGGGGGGCACTCCCATTTTACCTGAGTTATTTTGCTCTGCACAGAGGAGACGATAGCTGAGGAGATCTGGCCGTCTTTTTCCTGAGAAACCCCCCTAATGAAGAAGAGCAGAGGCTCACTCAAGAATTTGAACACAAAGATGGAGTAACTGATACCCATACCTTATGCCTCTGAAACTTTAAAATAGCGGCAAGCTTAGAAAAATGTATTTTTGTGTGTGCATGAGGGTGCATACACAGGGAGGCCAGAGGCTGATGCTTGGTGTCTTCTATTGCTCTCCAACTTGTCTTTTGAGACAGTTTTTCATTGAACCTGATGCATATGGATTGGCTAGACTGGGCAGCTTCTGGGACCATCCTATCTCCACTTCCTAGCATGCTGGGATTGCAGGTACAGGCTGTCATGCTTCACTTTTTACATGGGTGCTGGGAAATAAAATTTGGTCCTTAGACTTATGCTACAAAGCACTTTACCCACTGAGCCACTTTCCATGCCCAGAATTGTGTATTTTCTACTCATTTCAATATTTTATTAAATGAACCTAACTCAAATTTTGACATTACATAAAACATTTAGGAAAAAAAAGTCAAGAAAGGAAGCACCTTTCAGGGCAGCCCTCCCAAGACTACAACTGCAGCCCCAGTGGCTCATGCTCTACAGGCGAAGTCTCTGTGTATGTGGTCACCACATGTGCTGGATACCTTTAGTGTCAACTTGACACATCTGGGTTGAGGGAGCCTTGGTTGGGGGGTTGCCTTTGTTGGACTGGCCTGTGGCCATGTCCATGGGGCACCTTCTTGATTGTTGGGGGGGCCTGGCCCACTGTAGGTGGTACCACCCCTGGGCAGGTGGGCCTGTGTTGCATAAGAAAGCAGGCTGAGCAGGGGCCAGGGGAGCAAGTCAGTAAGCAGCATTTCTCCATGGCCTGTGCTCCAGCTCCTGCCTCCAGGTTCCTGCCCTGAGCTCCTACCTTGGGCTCCCTAATGAAGTGTGACCCGAGAGATGTAAGCTGAATAAAGCCTTTCCTCCCCAAGTTGGTAGTGGTCAGGGTTTTGTTACAGCAATGGAGACAAACTAGGAAATAAATTGTACCAGAGTGTGGGGAATTGCTGTGACAGACCTGACCCTGGTGTTTTAAGGAGGATTGTGGAAGTGTTTGGAACTTTGGGCTGGAAAAGCCATTGCGTGCTTAAGTTTGTTACTGTGGACCTTGGAAAGAGCTGAAAGAGCTGTGAACAATGGAGGCCTGGCTTGTGAAGCTTCAAAGGGAAGTGGAGACTATCAGGGCTGTTTGTGTGATGTTTTGAATTGAGAATCTGTGGGTTCTAGTCGGCTAGGGATGAAGAATCAGCTGTAAGAAGAGACCGGAACCCGAAGCAAAACCTTTGCTTTACTGGGACAATTGATGTTGGTTAGCTGGGGCTGAAAAATCAGCTGTAAGTAACAAAAGACCAGAATCACTGTGGTGAAATCTTCTGGGAGGTATTTCCTTAGGGTCAGCACACAAAGAGGACCCGAACTTCCATCTCTAGCTGGAAGCAGGACTTGGTAATGTGTAAGAGTCTCCTGCATGGTTCTGGTGTTGAAAGCATGAAGGGGTCAGAGAGCAGCTGAGGCTTGGCACTCTGAAAGGCCAGAAAAGGCCATAGGTGAAAGTGCAGCTTCAGTTGCAGTTAAGACCCCAGGACTGAAGGGGTCATGGAGAGAATCTGAGGCCTTTGCACCCCAAGAGGCAAGAAGAGGCCACTGGTGAAGGTGTAGCCTGTTTCAGTGGAGACCCCAGCTTTTTGGAGATGCCGGGACCATGGGACGACCACCAAGGACAGTGACAGGTGTGGAATGGAGCTGGCCTGGATCTGTGAGATACGCTGTGTGTGCCGTGGAAGGTAGAGTCAGAGAAATAGAGCTGCCAAAACCCTCTAAAGCCCAGAAGATCGTGAGTGAATCCCAGATGTCCAGCCTTGAGCTACTTTGCTGGACTTTGGTTTTACTTAGGTGTGCCCAATTCTTCCCTTTGAAATAAGACAGTACTTGTTTTGGATTTTACATAAACCCACCCACAGTTAAAAGACTTTTAAAAGAGACTATGGACTTTTAAATGTTTGGATTTTTTAAGGATTGTGAGGTTTTTAAGGTTGTACTGTCTTATGTTGTGATATTAACATCATATCTTGGGGACAAGAATTGGAAAGCTTATGGTTTAATAGTGATGTGTGTGTCAAGTTGACAAGGGGTCAATTGTGCTGGATAGCTTTAGTGTCAACTTGACACACATATATCCCAGTGGTTGGGGCTTCCTACACTTTCTCCCATCTTCACTCAGGGATGAGCTATGGCCTATTACTCAGTGTGAGGACAGCCATAGATCTGCTCTCAATTGAGTATGCCCTGCTTACCCTTACAACAGCTCATACCAAGGATAGTCTTTATCACCAAATGACCCTTCCTAGCCCCCCATGACTTTAAGGTTAATTGTCTGGCAGATGCAATCCCAATAGGAGTAGCCTCCTGTCAGCCTGTTTGTCACCAAGAGCCACTGAGTCCTGCATGGTACCTCAGGGGCTCGGTCACCCATGGGAGAGCTCTGAATCCCTGGGTAAGTCATAGATCCTGTGTCACCCCACGTGCTCATGCCTGACATCCAGACACTCACTTCAAGCCACTTGATGTCCCCTATTCCCAAAGAAGCAATGGTAGGGATCACTGTTAATGCTGTCCAGGCTCCACAACTCACTTGCCACCCCTTGCTCTTTCCTGATGAGAGCAAACCAGAGATCAGAGTTACCTGGAGCGCTCCTGGCTGGAATCCCGGCTCTCCACAGGAGAGATGCTGGCTGAGTGGGCTGAGTGGGCTGTAGGACGCGGTGCCACCTGCTTACTTGGGGACGTTGACTGGGAGCGGGCCTTGGCCTTGGTGCGAGATCGAGAACGCCTTTTCTTCTTTTTCTCGTGGGGACTTCTGAAAGGAAGTGTTCTCATGAGGGTGCATGGAGCATGACAAGCATGACTGGACTTGTGTCAAGGGTCCCTCTCTACACACATGGGCCTTTTTTTCTTTTGGAGACATATATTTCAGCCTGGTCTTGAATTCACTTTGTAGCCAAGGATGAACTTCTGATCCTCCTCCTGCTTTACTTCCCAAGTGTTGGGGTGATAGGAGTACACCACCATGACTGGTGTGTGTGGTGCTGGAAATTGAACCCAGGGCTTCATGCATACTAGGGAAGCACTTTACCAGCTGAGCTACAGAACTGACCTAGCCTCATATGCATGCCTTAAACAGCTGCTCTCTTTTAGTCAACTGAGCCCATAGATCAACAGGGTCCTGAGGGTTAAGAGAACCATCCAGAAGTCAGCCTCTCTGTAGGGGAAGCTTGGTTCTGGGGAAATGCCTGGCATTTAACATACAATGAACATTCTATTTGCATTGAAAATACCAAAATAGTCACCAAGGGCTACCTACACTTTCTCATTCATGTAAAAGATAGCAAATTATCAGTTAAGCACTGCACATGCATAGGTCCAGCTTTCTTCTGCCTGGTGATCACATACCTTCATGTGATTAAAGGCTCAGAAGGAGGCAGCCTGGGCCCTGGCTCTGGGAGTATCTGCTGTACTCAGTGCCCAGCTCAGCTCTGACCACTGCCCTGCCTCCACCAGAGGATGGGACTCCCAAACCTAATTCCCCATCAGGCCCCAGCCCTCTTCCCCAAGGCTCTGCAATACCTACCTCTATTTCTACCTCAAATATGCATACTCATACATACACAAACACATGGGACAGGGAGGGAGGGAGGACACACATGCTTGGGAAAAACAGCGTGCCACAGGACAGCTGAACTTTTAGGTCCATGCTCAGTATTCCAGCATATGGGGCAACACTGCTACCAGTCCACACTCTGCCTCTCATTAAGTCATTTTGGAGATGCTTTGTAGACAAGGCTGTAGGGCACCACTAGACAGCCTTCATGATCAGCCACACCTTCCAAAGTATATCACTTTAATGGAAACACTGGTATCTCACTGTTGACCATGTCTCTCCTGGGTCACCAGGGGCCCAGCTCTGAGATGTTTTGGTTTCCAAAGGGATTACACCTGGCCCAGCCCTCTAGCCTCCAGAGACCACACCACTGTCCACACATCCATTGATTTCTAAGGCTGGGTTGCATCTCAGTCCTGTCTCTTATCAGGCTGTATGATTTCCTGCATTTCTTTGGTGCTCTGATCTGGAATGTTCCTACCTAATGATATGCTATGTTTAAGCTCTCAGCATGCAGACTCTGCTGAGGTGCCACACCCAGTTCCAACTCCAGTGCCCATAGGTGCTTGTAAACCAACAAACAAGAGCACTAAGTCAATAAGCTCAGCATGGGCATGAGGCCTGGGACAGAGAGCCTTGTGAGCCCAGCCATGTCCTCTTCCAGCCAGCCTTTCAGTGTACCACCTGGGTAAGAACAAACTGTTGGGATTCAAGTGCATGGCCAGCTTGGGAACCCAGAACAGCTTTAACTATGACAAGGAATTCTGAGGGGCAACAACTGCAACTGAATTTCAGCCACTGGAAAGCCATGTTCCTGGTGAGCTGGAGCTGTGGGCAGCAGCCTGGTGTCCTCTGGCAAGGAAATGTAGATATAGGTGGAGATTGTGTTCATAGAAACTGGGCACATGGAGAATGAGTTGCTAGGTTACAGAAAGCTGAGAAGTGTCCAAGTACACAAATATATGCTGGATTTCAGAGGAAGCAGTTGTACAAAGCTGGATAAATCTGTGCAGTTATATGAGTAATGAATGAAAGGGGGAATCCTAATCCTGACTGTAAGTTTGGTTCAACCTGTGTGTGCATGTGTGCACATGTGTGGAGGTCAGAGCGTAACTTTGTGGGGTTGAATTTTTCCTTTCATCTTCATGTGGATTTCAGGGATTAAGCACAGGTTGACAGGCTTGTATGGCAAGCATCTTTACTTGCTGAGCTATCTCACTGGCCCTGGTTCAATCTTAAAATACAATTTGACCTCACAGAGAAAGTGGTCAGAGTTCTGCAAGAACAAAGCAGTTTGCTGATTTTCTTTCTTTTTTGCCTTTTTTTGAAGCAGGGACTCCCTGTATCCCAGCTGTCCTGGAACTCACTAAGTAGACCAGGCTGGCCTTGAACTTACAGAGATCTGCCTGCCTCTGCCTCCCAAGTGCTGGGACTACAGAGTGTGTGCCAGCAAGCCCAGCCCATTTGATCATTTTCAAAGCTGCTGAGGTGCACTTTGCAGGTGACCTGGCCTTCTGTGCTGTTACAGAATGGCCTACCTGTTGTTCTGGAATGTTCCTTGAATGTGTGACCTCTGCTACACTGATTATAGCTCTATGGGAATTGACTCCCATACCACTGTCAGGCTCAGCAGTGCTGTGAATAACCTGTGAACCTGGGCGTGTCCCTGTCTGTCCTGCTTATACTGACAGTGACACCACATGAGGATCCTACCATTATTTGATAATTAATTTTCCTGTGTGGTTCTGGTAACTTGCTTCTGTGGCCAAATGTTCACTGTCCACTTCCAGGAGAAGAAGAGCTAGGAAACAAGACAGGTCCACATGTAACTTTGCTAGAAACTTCAAGCTTTTTCCAAAGAGGCAGCCTCAGGCCTATAGCAGGGTGGACAGGGATGGTGAGCATCCTTGCCAGCCCATGCCAGTGAGCAAGCAGCAGCACCTTGCTGTGTTTTTGATGGCAATCCTAAATGCTGATGCTCAGCATTCTTCCAAGTATGCATTGCTGTCTACTGTGTTCCTCTGTGAAGAGTCATTGGCATTTGTAGGCTATTGGTGTTGACATGGGCTTCAATCGGAGACAGGTACTGTGGGTGCCTTTTCCATTAGGGTTATGGCTACTTCATCTCTTAATTGCCTTTGGAAGTTTTATAATTTTATTATTTAATTTTATTTTTTTGTGTGTATGAGTGTATTGCCTGCATGTATATGTGAGTGTACCTGTGTCGTGCAATGCCACGGAGGTCAGAAGAGGGCTTTGGATTCCCCAGAACTGGAGTTAAGGATAGTTCATAGCCATCATGTGGGTGCTGGGAATCAAACCCAGGTCCTCTGCAAGGGCAGTCAGTGCCCTTAACCACTGAGCCATCTCTCCAGCCCCAGAAACAAGTTTTTAACTTCAGTTACAGTGACCTTATTATTCTTTCCTCTCATGGGTTTTCTTGTATATGTGCATGTGCATGTTGAGGCTAGAGGTCAACCTCAGACGTTGCTCTTCAGTTGCCATTTACTTTTTCTTTCAAACATGATCTTTCACTGGCCCAGAACTCACCAATTAGGCTAAACTGGCTGGCCAGTGAGTGCCAGGGATTTGCCTGATTTGGCCTCCCCAGTGCTGGGATTACAAGCACATGCTACTATGCCTGGCACTTTATGCAATTTTTTTTTTTTTTTGGTCTTTTTTGAGAGCTGGTCTAGAACTCGCTATGTAGACAGGCTGGCCTTGAACTCAGAGATCCATCTGCCTCTGCCTCCCAAATGCTGGGATTAAAGTCTGCACCACCATGCTGGCTTTATGTAGATCTTGTGTATGGAACTTAGGTCCTCCTGCTTGTGAAACTGGTACTTTACTGACATCTGTTTCCCCAGCCCAGCAGGGTTTTCAGTATCCCAAAGAGTCTTAGGTACACATTCTGTTTTTTTTTGTTTTTTTGAGACAGGGTTTCCCTGAAGCCCCAGCTGTCCTGAAACTCACTATGTAGACCAGGCTGGCCTCGAACTCACAAAGATCCGCCTCCTTCTGCCTCCCAAGTGCTGGAATTAAAGGCATGTGCCACCACGCTGGCCACACATTCTGTTTTCTTCAAAAGGCTCAGTGATTCCGGTTTTCACATTCAAACTGCTGATCCATGCTGAAGTAACCTGTTTTGTGCATGTGCATGAGAAAGTTTGTTCTTTCTCATTCTGATGTCCAGTGGCTCAACCAAGTTCTGCTGGAAGACTCTCCTGTACCTGTTAATTTGCTCTGGTACAGTACTAACCACAGATTGGGCCACTGTGAATTTGGTGGATTCCAAGTCCACTTTGTGGTCCACACTGCTTGATTTCTGTGGCTTTCTAGGAGTCTGGGTACCTTGAGGTCAAAGTTCTCCTCTTTGTTCATTGACTCAGTTACAGAGTTTGCCTGCCAGATTCTACAAAAGGCTTGGAATTTTACACTGGGATTTGGCTGGACCTATAGATGACCAAGGAGATGTGAGAACTACAGTCTGCTAGTGATTTGAGAACAGGGCAGGCATATATGTTCCTCAGAGTATTGGTCTGTAAACACACATGTGCATGTCTTCACATGTAGAGTCCTTGCTGGCCTTGGGATTGGCAATGATGGCCTTGGAGGTGAGTGCGGAGTGCCTTGACTCCCTTTTGTCGAGAAGGTTGCTGTGTGGTTACCTCACCTTTCATGCATGCTAAAATTCACAGGGAAAATGAACTGGCCAGGAGCTGGGAGTCCTAAGACTTTAAATCCCACTTCCTAAACAGATGAGGAATTATCAAATGATTCACTTTTGATGTCAGCTTGAGAGTCTGTCCATTCCATCAGAGATGGCAATAACTAGAGTAAAATTCATTTCCTTACTATCAGTTACAGGTCTATAGGTCTTTTCTGCTTGATTAATCTAATCACAGACAGACTGGTGGATTTATTTTCCAAGAACTCTCTTTTTGTTTTGCAGGTTTCCTATGTTGGTCTGTTTTTTATTTCACTGATTTCTGTTCTCTTAAAATTTCCTTGCTTCTACTTTGACTTTAATTCTTTAATTTGTTCTTTTACATTTATGTTTATTATTTTATTTTATTTTGTCTTTTTTGAGACAGGGTCTCCTTGTAGCCCCAGCTGTCCTAGAACTCACTATGTAGACCAAGCTGGCCTCGAACTCACAAAGATCCGCCTGTCTCTGCCTCCCAAGTGCTGGGATTAAA